AGGGTAAGAAGGAGTTGGTCCGGGGAGGTTGTCGGGAGAGGTGTTGGAATCCATGGCTCTGATTGTGCCGCCAGAACCAGTGGAGTCGGAGTATGATGCGGAAGGCAATGCTCCCGCCGTTGAGAGGGTTTTCGCAAACGAGACATTGAGGGGTCGCTTCCTGGTTGACTCTGTGGTGCTCTGTGGTGCGGGATCGGTTTGCGATGTAGAGATCTCTCGAGCAGCCGAGGAGGGTTGGTTTTGAGATTGTTGCATTTGTTGATAGACCAGTAATTCTTCCATCTGCCTCCGGAGTTCCTTGAGGGTCTGCAGACTGCGCCCTTGATCTTCCTGGGTTCCTTTTCCCGCTTCAGGACTTTCTTTTTTCGGAGGCGACGGGATGTGACATGCGGTCGCAGTCTGTTCGTGCGATATAGAGGAAGAGTGAGAGTTAGCATTCCACGTACTTTTCTCCAACGGCGCATCTCCATCAATTGCATAGTGAACATCATGGACAGAAATAGAATTGGTTGACTGCAGGGAAGGTCGACAATGGGATTGGGGCGCGGCGACAGGCGAAGGGGCCTCGGCCGGCGATGGAAGCGGAGGTGTCTTCATGCTGTTAACTTCGCCCATCCTAATTTCTCCCTCCACCGCCGGTCACAAATCAATTCTCCTGGGCGAATCCAACTCCACGGGAGCCAACTGAGGCACTCATCTCTCGGACAAAACGGTCCGCAATCAGAATTCGTGGAGGAGGCGAGAGGAGATTGGAGAGGGAGCAGTTGGGTGAAAATAGTGAAAATATGCAGAAGACGCGAAAACCGAACGAGCAATCGAAGCGAGGATCCGAACGGTCGAAAGACAAAAAGAGAGTATTGGATGCTATTGGAGCGGGATGGTGTATATAGCGCACACGGTGAAGAACCCGACGAGCGAAAAGAAAAGGGGTGGTGTGGATTGGCTCGAAATTCAAGGCAGTCGAAGGGGGTTGGGGGGGGGGGGAGGGGGGCGCTTGATTCTGCGACCAGAAAAAACGTCCGGGATGCGTTTTCTTGGGCCGAGATATGGGGCGTAGGCAAGAAGAGAAAGGAATATACAAGAGGGGAAAAAAAACGGAAAAAAGAGACACGAAGGGGAGGAGGAAATGAAAATGGCAGACGAACGATTTTTTTCCGAAAATGGGCCGTTAGAAAGAAGGTGACTAAAGCGGTGTATATCGGATGGTGGTTATGGGGAGGGAGGAGTGGGAGGGGGGGGGGCAAGAAGTGGGTGTTGGTGGTGGTGGTGATGATGGGTGGGTGGGTATTGATAGAAGAGATGAGATGAATTGGGATAGGATAAATGGAATGGGGTTTAGGACTCGCAGTAGTGGTAGTGATAGTAGCAGTAGGAGCAGTAGTAGTAGCAATACCAGCACAACCAGTAATAGAGTGTTGGGTTTAGGTGGTGAAAGGAGATTAGGAAAAAGGCTCAAATTGATCTGACCTTGCCTAGTTGTAAAAGCAGAATGAAGCACTGGCAGCAGGTTCTACTGCTATGCTAAAATGCTAGTACAATAATGAGAAATAATGTATTGACCCAGCCAGCAAGAGATCGTCGATTTGTGCTGGCAAAGTTCAAGATGTGGAAATGGTCCGTCGCCCCGGGGGGGGGGGAAAGGCAAGTGGAAAGTTCCAAGCTATGACGTAGTTAAGGCAAGCCCTGGACTGGGCTAGGCTGGATGAATGGGGGGAGAGGGGAGGGAGGAGATGAGGAAAAAAGGGAACAAGAGCGAAAGTAAGGGAAAAACCCGAGGGCTGTTTTCGGCACTTGTCTACTATTAATCTTCTCCAGTCAAAAGACGTCTCCTAGATGAAGTCTGTCTTTGGGGCTGAATAGATGATATTTCAGTAGAGGTCACAGCTGATTGATTGTCTGGTCTTAATAATGACTGGCAAACAATCCCATCAAGCCGCCGCAAATAGTCAAGTGTGGGAGAGACAGGAGAGAAAAGAACAAACTGCAGAATTGAAGACAGATCGGGAGGGAAGTAGGATAGTCCGCTACGGGGAGAGCGAAAGCAACCTACAAGGAAATCAGTCGCAAGAAGAGAAAGGATGGGCAAATCAAGTAACCAAGTACCCTACTGTGGTAGTCCGTCTACTGCCTTGCCTAGTCTCGGTAGGAGCGGGCAAAAGGTCAAGAATTCAAGAATGAAGGAAAAGACCTGGCTGGACTTGCAAGGCCTTGTGTTGACTAAAACAGATCTCAAAGTCCCACTAAGCAATGAACAAGGTTCTTGGTATATTATCTGCAATACATTATGCATTGTGGTGTATAGTAAGTAGAGCAGCAGCAGCAGCACGAGTGTACAGTACATGATAATAACCTCAGGAACCTTACCCCTCTAAATGATGCCACATTCAAATTAGTCGCGGGACCGACAAATGCTGGATGACATTGACATACCTGAAAGTAGACTAGTGTAAGGGCAGCCCCCGTCTTTGAGTTTGCATCAAGTAAGCAAGCCCTCTCCGCCCATGCCGCCACCATCATCATCATTACTACTAAGTATCATCCTCTGTAGTACAGAGTAACTACAGTACTCTTAATAATAGACCACTGCTTGCTTATCCTCCGGTAACTAACCGTTCTGCATTCCACCTTTCATCGCGAAGGGGTTCAATGATTCCAACTGTGGCGCCCTGATCACGGTGGAGCACCACAGTAGCTGCTCGCTCATGGCTGCATCATGAGCCGCGACAGATGCCTGTCCTCTGCACTGTACTATGCTGTACCCACCCTCCTTGATCACGAGCCACTTGCCGCGATGCCTAAGGCTGAAAACTCCTCCACTGTCTTCCCCCTCACCTGAAAGCCTCAAGTTCTCTTTTCCGGATACTGGGTCCTTCCACTGTGTAGCAAGCAAATGGGACGTCTTACAGCTGCGAATAGTGGACGAAGAACAAAAATCAGAACAAAATGGATAGGTCGATTTTCCGTCATACTACTTTCGTACTAACTTGGTAGGCTTTGCCGCTTTATGTGAAATGACCCTGTTAGGCGATCCCCGAGATCCTCAAGAATGGTTCGTGAGGCACGCGATCTGCGCAATAACCATTAACAGACCATGTGTTCGCTTCACTTCTAGACCTTCTGAAGGTAGCGACTGGAGTCTTGCTTGCATCACTGATGGCATTTCTCCTGATCTGTCTAGCCGAGTTTTGGTTAATAGGCTGGGTCCTCCGCAATAATAGCTATACCCAGTGTCCATCGCGACATTTTATATACCGTCGTCCTCCTGACACTGCGTTGATGACCCCGAGGACGATTTCGTAAGGTATCTTACACTACTACTAATCTTCTTGTGAGCTTTGGATTTTTGACTTCTGCATATGAGCTTTTACACCCACTAGGATGTAGCTCAAAGAGTGCACTAGAAGAGGCCTGCTCTAAACACCTCAAGAAAATCCCGAGCAAACCCGCGCAAACCCGGGGTTTAGAGCTAGAATGATGATCGCAGAAGAGAGTCTCGCTCGCTCGGCGATGGTTGCTGAGGCGAAGCGATGACGGCATGGAACCGTCAGTGTTCAGTGTTGCCGCGTGGGTTGGCAGTCTCCCAAGCATTTGGTACCATGGGAGTCAGCCAGGCTAGCATACTTTATCTCCTGCTCAGACACTCAGCTCCAGGGAGCTACCAGTAGCTAACTGGGAAACACACAGCCTGCAGCGGAAGAGTCCATCCACGTATCACTTTCGGTAGTTCGTCTGCAGCTGTACTGTACCTACTCCGTACCGTGCAGCGGACCCCATTTCTTGCTGCTGGCGCTGCAATGCTTACTTGTTTGACTAATGTAAGTGCAGGAACCTGACGATCTTAAAACCGATGGTATGACGAAGCCGTGTTCCATGTCGGCGATGGAACACGTGGGAGGGGAGACACACTCTAGTACTAAGTACTTACTCACACCCTGAACATACGGTACATTGAAACATGTTGTCGTAGTCCTTGTCCAAGGGAATTGATGTGAGATCTATTTGACACAAGCGATCGGGAGTTCATGACAATGTGCCGATGGGTGACATCTTCGCATGCTACCGAGTACCAACTAGTCTAGTTAAACTCAGATTAAGACCGACTGACTTTCAGCCAGGCCCCAGAGCCCTGTTCAGCCCTGTTCCTCGAATCAAAATTCCGAGTGATATTCAGGAGTACGGCCTTTAGGCAAAATATTCCACTAGTCGCCATAGGCTACAATTAATACAGTGCTAGTGTAGTCTTTCATGCGCCCACCAGTGCCATTGATCGTCCCCGTCTTTGACTAATTCTTGACAGCCTACTTCTGAATGCATGATTTATGCATTGCATTGTACCACAATAGGCCACAATGTGACAGGCATGAATAACTAGGGAAGATAGAAGAAAAGAAAAAATAAAAAAAGCAAATTACAGTCTACCAGAGTAGGAAAGTTGAACAAGTGTCGGGGTAGAAAGGACTGATGGTGATGAGTGGCATGTTGCCAGTCGGCCGTTTGACGCCTGCCATCCATCCATCACGTTGTGCCTTGAAAACGAGTGAGACAAATCGACGGCTGATCGGCCGTCCACTTTTTTTCTACTTCAATTTCCCTCGTGATGCCCAACGGCAGCTGACTCAGCCCAGAGCGAAAACGGAGCCTCTCCCAGTGAGGGAATTCTGAATCCTCAGGCATCTTTACCCACTCCGTCCCCCTCAAACCAAAGTTCCAAAGTTTCGAAGTTCCTGCCTCGCCTCGAAAAAGAACTGGAGTCTTATCAAAGTTGCTCACTTACACAACCCATCATCCTTGACCAACGGGTAGCTCGTGTTGTTGAGGTGAGCCCACCATTCAAAAAACTACATTCAATCTGAACGAAGGAGATCCCCCCCCCCCCCCCCAAAAAAGCAAAGTGCGCACAACCGTGCGGTCTCGACTGGAGCCGTTGACCTTTACCTAATCTAGTCTCAAGGAACGGCAACACTCACTCACTTTAGCTCCCTCGTTCTCCCTCCCTCCTCTCTCTCTCTCTCTCTCTCCACCGTCCTTGGCGACGATTATTGTTCAAACCGTTTTCGTTCTTATGAATCTTCTCTTGGATCACTCCGACCACCCCTTCTTCCGAGTACGAGTGCGACTACACACGACAGGCGATTCACCTATGGCCGTCAATTGAGGGGTGACATTCTGTCTGACACAATTGTTTATTGTTGGTTGCGATGGACGATAGCCATATCTTGGGGGACGACTTGCCGCTCCCCCCGGCGCGGCTCTTTGAGAGGTTGGCACAGCTACCTGGATACACCTGGGATCAGTCCGTTGAGCCGTTCCACTCTACCTACAACCACTGGCATGTCTTCGGCCTTCGTCATGCCGTTGAATCTGATGTTTCCACCCCCGCCGCAACCTCCTCGGGCCCCTCTAGTCTGGCTCGCAATTCTCCGCGTACCGAATCCCGTCCCCCGTTTCGTCATCATTGGAGGAGCAGCTTAAGCGAGTCCAGCAGCGAATTATCGCTGTCTCGTATCGATCATGAGCCGATATGGATCCCGGTCGTCGCCCGTGTTTCGTCCCACGTTGTCAGACTCGAGCGCGAATTTCATATGCTACGGTCGATTGTGCAAACTTCGGACCCAGATTGCAACCACACAATACGGCCGATTGATCTGATACGACTGCCGCCAGACCCCGGAGATTCGGGCACTCTGCTCGTAGCTCTCTTCGAATCGCCCGGTCCGAACATGCTGCGGGAGATGGTCGCTTTTGGACCCGCTTGGTTTGCAGTTGGCGGCAGGACCGACAGCAACGAGCCCACACCCGGAGAGCAGGTATCTCTTTCGGTATTTCTAGACTTTGCGATTGGGGCATGTGATTGTTTGGAACTTCTGCATTACGGCCTCAAAACCGTCCATGGTGAAATTCGGGGAGATGCCTTCCACTTTAACCGGGAGGCCCGTTCGGTGAAGCTGACCAACACTGGCAATGGCGCTCGGTCATTCGACAATATCTTGAGCGAGGGCTGGTCGTCGCTCTCGAGGGAATTAGGCGTCAAGAACAAGCTGCAATTCATCGCACCAGAGCAGACGGGGAGAATGCCAACAGAACCGGACAGCCGGACAGATATCTATGCGCTTGGCGTGCTCTTCTGGACTATGCTGGTGGGCAAACCGGCTTTCACCGGCAGCGATCCCGTCGAAGTTGTGCAGAACGTTCTCGGAAAGAAGTTAGTCCCCGTTTCAGCGAAGAGGATGGATGTTCCGGATGCCGTATCAGCTGTCATCCAAAAGATGACGCAGAAGGCTGTCAATGAGCGTTACCATACGATTTCTTCCGTTAAGCGAGACCTAGCGCAGATTTCCCAGTTACTTGGAGATGGTGATAGCGAGGCCTTGAAGGACTTCCAGATCGCACAGCGGGATGTCTCATCTTTCTTCACTCTTCCGTCTCGCATGTTTGGACGACGTGAAGAATACGACAAGATTATTAGTGTTGTGGAAAAGGTTCACAGGCGCCAACAATCTGCCTATGCGAGAGCTGGCGCGCAAGCTTCTAGTGGAGTGGGCTCGAACTCATCCGCATCCGACGGCCGAGTTGACAGCTTTGAGATCGCGTCGGGCTCAAGCGACTCGGGTTCATTCCATCTCGCTCACAAAACTACTAATGGCGGCCCTCTAGGTCGGGTCTCTACGCATGAGTCCCTGCATAGCACGGAGTCTTCCCTTTCAACTCCGAAGCCGGGAAATGCCTCTGGCAAGCTCAAGAGTCCGGTGGAATCACGCGCATCCTGGGATATTGCTGACCGAGATAGCCACCCTTCGATGGGCACAAGCACGCAAAGTCATGGAGAGTCGATCACTTCTGTCACTCGACCTAAAGCTGCCAACAAAGCACGTCGGATCGGAAAATGTGAGATTATCGCCATTAGCGGCGCGGCTGGTATCGGCAAAACCGATCTTGTAAACCGAGTTCAACCGACGATACGTAAACTTGGGTACATTGGCATAGCTCGTCTGGACCGAGCTAGGCGAGTTCCCTTTGAGCCTTTTGCGAAGATCTTGGCTAGCCTTCTCCGTCAAATATTCTCGGAACGTGATGTCACCACTGACTATCATAACAATGTCCGCACGGCGCTACGACCCATGTGGCCGACCTTGCATCGAGTCCTCGAGCTTCCGGAACAGCTCATGTCATCTGGTAACAAAGATAAGCAGATCTCACCTAGGCTTTCTGCAGCGCAACATATATTCAAAGATGTCTCAACCAAAGGAGAACCGTCCAAGCGCGTAGCGATGCCTCGTCTTGATGACGGGCAAAGCTCGGTCGACTTTTTTCTGTCTAATGCAGCACTGAAGAACATGCGATTGATGGAGACATTTTTGGAGATTCTGAAAACTCTATCGCAGTACAGGGTGATTTGTGCATGTGTGGATGACCTGCAATATGCCGATGACGAAACCCTGGAATTGATTATGAACATTGTGAAAGCCAAGCTATCTTGTGTGCTTATTCTCACGAGCCGACAGTCGGAACTCGAGTCAGATGCCATCAAGTCCCTTTTCGAAGCCGAAGATCCTAATGTGACCCGAATTGTGCTGAAGCCCCTCGGAGAAGAAGAGATCATGCAAGTTGTAGCGGCCACGATGCACCAAGCTCCAAACCCAACATTAACGCCACTCGCAGCCGTGATCCAAGAGAAGAGCATGGGCAACCCGTTCTTCGTGCGAATGATGTTGGAGACTTGCTATAGCAAAAATTGCATCTGGTATTCCTGGAAAAACTCTACCTGGGAGTTTGACTTGGATCGTATTTTCACCGAATTCGTGGCACCTAGGTATGGAGAGGGCCTGGGACTTGGCTTTATTGCTCGGCGTCTTCAAGAAACCCCTACAGCGGCAAGGTCCATCATGGTCTGGGGAGCGTTGTTGGGAAGCCCGTTTGCCTTCTCGTTGGTCCAAAAGCTTCTTACAAGCGAGTTTCTATTCTCGAGCGATGACGACGAAACTGTTGATTTGACATGCCCTCAGAATGCGAACCTGATTCGACAGTCCGAGGCCGACATTATTGTTGGGCTGCAGTATCTTGTCCAAGCCAACCTTATAATTCCCGGGAAAACGGACGATGAATTCAGGTATGTTCCCCGAATAACTTAATCTTACCCCCACTTGATCGTTCCACTGACTCGAACCGCCTAAGGTTTGTAAATGATCGGTTCTCACAAGCCGCATTATCATTGACTGAGGGTCGAAACGTTGAGAAAATGCATTTCATCATATCTCAAGCCATGATGAAATACTATCATGACGGACGCAGTCGATATGCCTTGGCGCGGCATGTGGCTCTCGCGTCGCGAATCATCAAGTCTCGTGTTGTCGAAAGACTGGAATACAGAAAGATTCTCTGGGATGCAGCTCAGACTGCAGCTCAGTCAGGCGCTCGACCGACTGCGCTCTGGTACTTCCGCCATTGTATCGCATTCCTCCAGGACGATCCTTGGAATGATAATAACACGGATGTTTACTACCATGAGACCTTGCGTCTGCACATTGCCACTGCCGAGATGTCATGGTCTCAAGGACATAACACCGAAGCCCTGGATCTTCTGGACAAGGTGTTCGAGCATGGAAAAAGTGCCGTTTGCAAGTCAAGGGCTTGGATTGTGAAGGCAAAAATCTACGCTCAAATGGGAAACCATCTCCGCTCCATGGATTCGCTTCTGACATGTCTTGATGAGTTAGGGGTCCATCTTCGGGAGCCAACCACATACGAACAATGCGATACTGCATACAAAAGTCTTAGCGAATATCTCGGCAAGATGGACTTGGATGTCATTGTTCGGAAACCTATCAGCAAAGACATCAACATGATAACCATCGGAGCAGTGATGGCTGAGGCGATGTCCGTCACCTACTGGGATGATGGCTTGACGTTCTACCGAATGGCAATAGAGATGATAAATCTTCATTTGTTCAAAGGTGGCTTCGTGCAGATCTCAATAGGCTGCTCCCATCTTGCCATGATTTCCTTCAGTCGTTTCCGCGATCTGGACCTTGCTGTCAAACTCAGTGACCATGCGCTCAGTCTCCTTGAGCGCTGCCCAGAGCCATGGACCCAAGGTCGGGGCCTGATCGTTCATAATCTTTATGTTGCTCACTTGCGGGTGCCGTTGTCAGCTACGCTTCCTGTTCTTGAAACCTCGGTGGAGACTTCGTTCTCAATGGGTGACCCCTACATCACTTTGATCAGTCTCTCCTCGATGGCAATGACGCGGCTGTTCCTGGGCCACGATATGGCTCAGGTTGAGGCTTTCTGTAATGAAAGCCCCGAGGATATACCTGACTGGGTAAATGATACTCGTGGGGGTGCCACTCTTCTCGCAGTACGGTAAGACTCCCTTCAAGCCGAACACTTCCACATCGGGAAGAGTGAAGACGTACAGAAACTAATTCCCTTCACCATGTAGACAAGTTGCGCGTGCGCTGCAAGGGAAGACATCCTGCCGGTTCGCTGACACTGTCATGTCTGACGAGCATCATCATACCAATGAATATATCGCTTTCCTGGATAATAACGCCAGCAATGCCGATCGCCCGCGGGACATTTACTGGGGTTTAGCAATGATTCCTTTGTTCGCTTACGGCCACCATACCCGGGCTATAGAGGTTGGCATGCAGATGATGGATACGATGCCTAGGTTGTGGTCTGCTCGTGTCTCTTATGTCGTCTATTTCTACCTTGCGCTCTCCCTTCTGACGCTCCACAACGACTACCCTGCACGTGGGTATCTTGATGGAGGGTTGAAGACGGTGCTGAAGTACAAAGCAGAGGTGGATTTCGCACGGAGTGCTTGCGATGCGAACTATGGCATGTGGTCACTGATTCTGGAGGCTTTGATTTGCGAAGTCCGAAACGACCACACCTCTGCCATTCAGGCTTTTGAGGCTGCTATTGACCACTGCCAGATCCATGGATGGCCATTGGAGGAAGCCCTTGCCCTTGAGCTGCACGGTGAATTCCTGATCCGACGTGGTGCAAAGAGAGCGGCACGCTCAGTGATGCAGGATGCGATCGCCGCCTGGGCAGCAGTCAGCGCTGTGGGTAAAGCAGCCCAACTGACCGAAAAGCACGAGTGGCTACTGAAAACCGCGACATCTTCGAGAAATGTTGACGTCGGGTGCCAGACTGTTGATTCACTCCTTGGAATCAACCGCAATTCAGGACAGGAACATATTGGTGTGAATCCGAAGATGGAAGAAGATGATCGGAAACAGCGCTGGCTAGAACAGAACGGCGTCACGACTGGTGAGCGGTCATTGGACATCTCGGGTGTCGGTCTCGGTAAGCTTGAACTACTTGTCCCGGAATGCTTATTCCCCCTACTGGTTTTTGATTCTGACAGCAAGCAGATATAATTGATCTCTCGAGTATTCTTGAGTCGAGCCAAGTGATGTCGTCTGAGCTCCAGATCGACAAACTCTTGACTAAAATGATCGAAATTGTCCTAGAAGCGTGCAACGGTTCGGACTCAGCTCTGATTGCGACGAACTTCGATAACAATTTCACCGTAGCTGCAACTGGCGATATGGAAAAGGGCCAAAAGTCTTATGTCGACGGTCTTCCATTCTCGTCAATTGAGGACAAAATGGCCCATCAGATCTCCCACTATGTCATGCGTACCCGAGAGGAGGTCCTCGTCCACAACGTTCTTGAGGATGAACGATTCTCCAACGTTAGCGAAGCTTATCAGACAAGATATCCCATGGGAAGATCGGTCATTGCATTGCCAATAATGCAAGCCGAAAATCTTCTTGGTGTCATCCACATCGAAGGGAAACCAAACTCCTTTACCCAACGCAATGTGGTCGTGCTTCACTTGCTGTGCAATCAGATCGGCATCTCCTTGTCCAATGCATTACTCTTCCGTGAGGTTCGCAAAGTCAGTGCCACCAACGCATCGATGGTTGAAGCGCAAAAGCGCGCGCTAGCCCAAGCTCGAGAGGCGGAGCAGAAGGCCAAGGTGGCAGAAGCCGAAGCGAAGCACAATGTGAAACTCAAAGAAGATGCAGCCAAGGCTAAATCCATCTTCCTTGCGAATATCTCCCATGATTTGCGCACTCCGATGAACGGTGTGATCGGTCTCTCCGAACTTCTCAAGAGTACTCGATTGGATAAAGAGCAAGATGAATACGTCGAGTCGATTCGTGTATGCGCCGATACTCTGCTGACCCTCATCAACGACATCCTCGACTTCTCGAAGCTTGAAGCTGGAAAGATGAAGATCTCCACTGTCCCCCTCAATATCCGAGAAACGATCTCGGAGGTTGTCCGCGCGCTTCGTTATACGCACCGCGACCGAGGCTTGGAGACCATCGAGGACTTGGACAAGGTCCCACCAGAACTTGTCGTCCTTGGTGATCCTGTTCGGCTGCACCAGATCTTCATGAATCTGCTAAGCAATAGCTACAAGTTTACGCCCAAAGGATCTGTGACCGTGCGGGCCCGGGTGTCGCGAGAAGGCAAAGGGCGCATCCGTTTGGAGTGCTCGGTGTCGGACACCGGCATCGGTATCTCTGAGGAGCAGAAGTCGCGACTCTTCCGACCTTTCTCTCAAGCAGACAACTCGACCGCAAGATCATACGGAGGTAGTGGGCTCGGGTTGAGCATCTGCAAAGCGATCATCGAAGACGTCCTGGGAGGAGCGATCTGGCTCGATTCCACGTCCGGCGTCGGCACCACAGTCACATTCCATCTGTCTTTCAACAAAGTGAAGGATGCTTCTAGTAAAGGTCTACGTTCGAAGCTCCCCAGCCCCGACGGGGAGAAGGCGTCTTCCCCCAAGCCCACTGCTCGTGATCTGAGCATGGTCCCCCGCGATCAGATCCGGGTGTGCATTGCCGAAGACAACCCGATCAACCAGAAGATCGCCGTCAAATTCGTGACCGGCCTCAATCTGCAGTGCGAAGCCTACAGCGACGGCCGGCAGGCGGTCGAGGCTCTCCGGGCCCGCTCCCGGGAAGGCAACCCCTTCCACGTGGTCCTCATGGATGTGCAGATGCCCACCCTGGATGGATACAACGCGACGCGCGAGATTCGCAAAGACCCGGACCCCAATGTCAACGAGGCCCTGGTCATCGCGATGACCGCCAGCGCCATCGAGGGCGACCGGGAGAAATGCATCGACGCCGGCATGAACAACTACCTCCCGAAGCCGGTCCGATCCACCATCCTGGCCGAGATGCTCGACCAGTACCTCGCCCCGGTCCCCGCCTACACGCGCACTCGCATGACGAATCGCGGGAGCGGGAGCGTGAATACCGACGCCGGCACGCCGCCACTCAGCAACAGCTCCTCGACGCCCCAGTCCCAAACCTCTAGTCCAGTCATCGCACTCACGCCCGAGGAGGAAAAACCACTTGCCCCCAGCAACAGCAACAGCACCTGAACAGCAACAAGGCATTCGAGGAAAAATTGCAACATTTTGCAGGAATTCTCGGAAGTCTCTTCTTTTCTTCTTCTGTTTCCCTTGCCACCCCCGCTTGTTTGCGTGTTTGAGATACCACATCTGTATAAATTGGAGTTCTTCCCCCCATCTTTTTTTTCTCTCTTCTATTCCTTCATCTATTTGTCTTCATTCGTTCCCCCCCCTCCCCCTTTTTTTTTCTCTTCATACAAAATGTTGTGATATATCCCCAGCTACAATCTGTCTTCGTTAGGGGTAAATTTTTCCATCCATTATATAGCTTCGTTTCTGGTTAGCGAATCTTCTGGTTTTCTGCTCCCAAGCTTTCTCTCCAGCCTCTTTTTGCTTTCACAACCACGATCGGCCACAATGGGGTATGGATATAAATAGACCCTGGTCTCCTTTAGTTCCTCTGTCCCCCCACCCCCTTCTAGGCGCTTGCTTCTCTACCTACCCTATGTTGGTTGATCTGTCGTCTACTGTGGTGTCTGCATAGGCCTATCCACCACAACAAACTTGATGAATAAATGAAGGATATGATTAATGATACTCGAGCTACTCACTCACCCACTTAACCAGTAATATATATGCTATCAAGACCTGGCGAAGTTAGGTACTCAGAACTCAGATGCTACGTAATTGTAGTAATCCCTACAGAGCGTCGCGCCTCGCTTCTACGGTATATCTGTAGGGTATACCTACCTAGCGTCATTGCGGGAACTTTTGGAAAAAGAGCCTCCCCGAAATACAAGTCGGGCTGCTTCCTTTTGCCAGCAAGATGTGTTGAGTTCCAAATTCTGTGTTACTTCTCGACTCGATGCCGAACTAGATCTTGGATTCGAGGATTGATCCATCTCCAGCAAAGCTAGTCGAATGTTGTGGCTTTACCTATCATCTAAATCGATCCATGGTTCACTCGTCGGCATGTGGAGCGGGGCGGGACAGTAGACGTTGATGGTTGAACGGATTCGTGGATTCTAGTGTTTGGCCATCGCGAAATCGAGGATTTTGATTTCGTTGTAGCATTTGTCTCTGCTGTTGTTTTCGAGGTCGGACCTGGTTGCCGAGTGGGTGGTTGCCGACACAATTTTGAATTGAGAGGGCGGAATGGGGCTGAAGTGGTTCTCTTTTGCGGATTGAAAACAAGTAGTCGATGCGGGGTGGAGGTGGTTGAACGAATTGTAGATCGCGCGAGCAAAAGAGGCTTCATTGGAGCTCATTTCCACACGATGGGAAAGCCGTAAGGTACCGACTGGTCTAGCGGCCAGATGGCCGCAGAACGCACCTGACGTCCCAAGCTAGTGATTGTTGAGAATGCACTGGGATGACGTTGTTTCTGTCGGCCTGATTTGGATCCCGCACCGCGAATGCCAGATCTGATGCTTAGGTACAGTACTGTATGTCAGGCATGAGCATGGATGATCGCAGGGTGGAGCTGCATGCCTGGTTGAACTTGGTTTAGAACGAGCGCTTATCGTAGGACGGGCCCGGCCTCGACCTGTGGTCTCAACCCACTTGCTGTCTTCTGGAAAACGCCCACAAGGAAAGCCAGCTGGAAGGTACCGATGAGCGACAGGGCTAGGTGATTAGCCGCCGGAATAATATGGAGGCTCTCTCATCGTCGCTACCAGAGTACGGCGAGCTCTATAGTATCCATGGTACGAACAAAGACTCAGGTAGTTGTTCGATTCCTCATCTGGCGGTGAGGAAAGCAAACGAGGGCCAGGCGAATGAAGGTATTTTCCCTTCCCCCCCAGTTAACCCCACCCACTCTGCAACAATACTCTAAAGAAGGATTAGCCATCCGCAGTGCATCCGTCGCCGTTGACTGACAGGAATGGGGAGTGTGTCTCCCCTCCATTCCGGAGTCGTCTTTTCGCCCATGGAGAAACTTAACACGGACCCTCACCTGCAGCCGATTGTTGGGCACTGCGGGGATAGTCGTCTCACATCCAAAGAAGCCATGACCCAGCATGCATCGGAGGTATTAGCAGCCTAGCCCAAGAGCCTTGGTGCAGCGCCGGCGAATCTCGAGCAGCAGTCTAGTGCATTAGCGTAGCGTTACCAGCATAGATCAGACAGACTTTGCGAGCCGCTGCTCGTGAAAACTCTGTAATCCCAAAGTAAAGTAGTCGGATTTTCGCCTCGCTCGTCATCCTCTCATGGCCTACTCAGAAATTCTGGCCAGGCATGATCTGGCTCAGTTCAGCAAAACTTGGCGACCCGAAAGGAGCTGTGTCGTGAGATAAACCGAAGCAGGCAGTGACCCAATCAAGTTATGTCAAATTTTCACACGAATATTCGAAGTAGTTCATCGGAGGCACAATCATCACTTCATTGGGTTTCTGTGTGACCAATGATTCCGGTCGGGCTGCTGGACAACCAAGCACAAGAGACCATCATCCAAGGTGCCGATAGCAGAGACATAATAATTAGGGCCGCACAGGCACAGTTGAAAAAAAACCGGCGTTAGGAAAAGGACACGGCCGCAAATTGTAAGGCAACAATCCAAGAGTCCGTGAGGCAGCAAGGTTGGAGACATAATGACGGTACGCGCATAAGATGCAGGAAGAATCGAATGCCACTGGTCATAGCGGCTTGTCGGTGGATGTCACCCTGAAGCCGGCGTCGATCGTGACTGGTGTATTTTCTAATCCAAGCCGGCGACCAGAAGAACAGGCTTTCCCTGCGTGTTTTAGCAGCTACGATCTGCCTGTCAGCCAAGAGCCTGTATTGAGTGCGTATCCAGACCGTTTTCTTTTCTTCTCGTTGGCTTTAGATCTTTTGTATCTCTTTGGGCAGTATCAAGAGGCCCTGATTCCGAGGTGTCGGCTTGCTGGACAGGGATGCCCTGAACCGAAATCTTGGGAGGATCGGAGGACTCCGAGACTCGTTCAAAACAGTGAGTCGTGTATCTGCAAGCCAGTCGAGCCTCTTCTCATCTGGACCCATTCTGCACCGTCCAACATGTTGAGATTTCCACGTTGGCGGCGTCTATAGCGCTTGTTAATCGGTGGAAGTTTGGAAGTTGATGATAGTTCACTCAATTGCTCGAGCTCAATGGAAGGCATTCAGGCGCGGGATGCTGGGCCGCCGATAAGCGGACAACACACTCTCCTTGAATTCCACACCCCAGGTTGTTTTTGTTATTTGCATGTCATATGCCTGGCGCATCAAGAAGATGAGAATTATCCCTGTCTGTTACACGGTCTCCCATTCGATTTCAGGGGCCAATTTCTGCCCTGCCGTGCCACTTGAGCGATCTTGGGTCGCCGCGCCGAGTTAGCAGAAGTCATTAGCCCGCTTTTGACATTTGAGAATGCAGTCCCGGTCGTTTTGTGCTTCTAAGTAGCCGAGTCTCCGTGCTTTTCTTGGATTCTTTTATGTGCCAGACCCTCCTGTTCGTTCGTTCCGAACATATGCAGAGATGTCCAATGCTGATCCAAGATCCTCAATATTCGGTTTATTTCCATTGCCGCAAAGCTGTGACTTTCGTCAGCCCCCGCACCATATACTGCGTTTGCAACTTTCTGCGCCCTGCAGTCTTTGATTCAAGACGTCACCATTCATATGGCCGTACACGGCTAAAGTCTTTCAACAAAGCGGAAGTGGAAGAGACAAGCTTTCTCACCCTAACAAGTCTCCCAGGCCTCCCAAAGGGGATGACCTAGCAGCTCAAAGCCATCGGAACTTTATATCCTCATTACGACAGATTCGGTGGAGTTTCGAACAAATGAATCACGTCTTGAGTCTGGTGATAGATGGCTGTAATGACCGAAACAGCTCGAATGAATGTCACACATTGTGATAGCTCCGTAGGCACTCATTTCTCATTGCATCTTGTCGAATAGATCTTGTACCTCTGCTGCTGCAATCACTTTACCCCAGCCACCCAGCCTGCTGATATCGGCGCAGCATATTCACAAAGGACTAGCTTTGGAGAAGGGAGGTAACCTGCCGCATTCGCAAACGGAAAAGAAGGCCTGCGGCATCTGACAGTGAGATGAATCTAGATGAGAAGGTTGAAGGTCTCACGTATTTTGTTTCTTGATCATGAGCATACTGTGGCGCTCGAAAGGGGAGCAGTAGCTCCGCTGGAGATGAAAGTCGGAACACAACAGGATCAGCTTCGCAGTGCTTCTCATTGTTCCTCTTATAGCTTTGTCGTATTAGCCAGACCATTGCAGCCCAAGGAGAGAAAGAGGGAAAAGGTCCGAGAGCCCCCAGGATGACTGATAGTCTCGCCACGAGACACCGGGGAAGGTCGTCCGGGTGGAGGAGGAATGGAGAGGGCTGGACCAGTCTCCGACCATTCAGCAATCTTTCTAATTTTTCGTCTTTTCAGCCAGAGCGGGGTTCTTCCGGGAGAAGGAGCGAATTGGCGTTCAGAAACTGCAAGACGGGCGGAATTGGGGGGTTGGGATTGGCAACAAGTGGAGGGATAATGGTGGGTGAGAGGCAGAAGGGGGGTGGGAGAAAATGCCTCCCCGGACAATCCCAATGCCCAATGGCTTCATCTCGCCCATCCCCAAGCCCCCCCTTTCCCCTCAGGGCCTTCCTAAGACTCATTTTCTTTGATCAAAGTTCATTCCGCCGGATGGAAGACTCTCCGCGGAGGGCTATATAAGCCCCCTCCTCGTCCTCCATCGTCCGGGCCTGTTCCTTCTTCCTTTTCTATCTCTCCAAGTCTCTCCTCTGCTTCCCTTCAACTCGTCGGAGTCATCCATCGACTCTCTTGTATCTGTCCTCTGACATACCAGCCCCTTGATAGGCATCAGTCGTTGAACCTTCTCTGTCATTGAACCCACTATTTCTATTCTCCTTCATCAGCTCCAAACCCCTTTTCACAATGGCGACACACCACTATCAGTCTCCCGCTCTCCCCATCAACGTCCCCTCCAAGGCTCCAGGTCCGGCTAGTCTTTATCCTGTCGGTCGAGTATCGGGATCACCTCCTGATATCTCCGACGCCAGCACCACGGCAGGAAGCCGTACCTCCGCTGGATTCAGTTATGCGTCCGGAAGCTTTGGCGGCGACTATGACTCAAGCTCTGCCTCATACTCTGGAGTCGAAATTGTTGATGTTTTGAATGATCGCATGCAGGATATGTTTGACCCAACGCCATTGGATAAGGGATTGGCGATGCAGGCGCAAGCGTGAGTGTCTAACCCCCGCCGCGGCGAACCCCGATTGCTGCCCTTAAAACCCACAGGATTAGAAACGGGCAGCATAAATCTGGGATCTAAGAAATGAAGGGAGGCTAAAAATCTACACCATCAGTTCCGGTCAGTTGAATGCGAAGCAGCGCGAGCTGATCGAGCTGCAAGCTCTTGCACAAAGGCGCCTAAAGGGCGTGCGCGCCAGTTTTGCCGATGGCATCAAAGTCGCTCGCGAGACCAAGCGGGATTTGGAATGGACCCAGAAACGCGTCAAGTAAGCTGCGAACTCATTCCCTGATATTTTTCGTCTTGCTCCGTATGCGACTATCGTCAATGGATTCCGCTCCGCTGGCCAGCTGCGCGGACGTCCGCCGCGCTCCGCCGTCAAGATGGTTCTTGGCAGCGTTCAGTGTCCTACTGGTCCCCCTGAAACATCTTCCGCGTGTGGTTTGCAGGCGCGATCTACCCCGATACTAGAGCTTCAGATGCTGACTAACGAAACAAGTGCTTTGAAGGCCAAAGCTGAACATGCTCATCCCGATGAGTATCGGCGTGCGGCCAAGAAATACACCTTCGACGATAATTGAACGACAAAAAGGGATCGTGTTGGGAAGTGGCCGAGACGAATTTGCGAGGCAAACACTCCCGTCGGGACCACGAAAGCTGGCTTTCCGGTAAATTGGCTTCTATGGATTTTTAATTTGGCGTGCTTGATTTTGGGATGGATTGTTTTGATTTGCGATACCGTTTAGCTGGGAGGGTTTCTGGGATAACCCCTGTCGTCGATGTTCCATTGGCGGCGCAATGTAATATTGGGCCTGCTGGTCTTTGGTGGGATTTTTCATATTCGGCAATATATCTTCATTTTTCTTGCAGATTCGCGACTGGTTGCATTTCCGGGTAAAGGGGCGGGGGAGGTAAGAATGCGTGATCCATGGCTCTGAATAGACTCCGGATGCGCAAGAAGGTGCGGCCGCGACGTTTCAGATTGACATGGGGAAAATGAAAACTCCCCATCACATCACATCCTGTGACGACAAGCGCCAAGTCATGTGCCAGACCCAGGTCACCTGGGGTCACGATACGGGCACGGTCCTCGGAGGTATGTGGTAGGCGCATACCAGTGAAGCAGCAAGACTGATGCCAAGAATGCTATGAAGATATGGGTATATCGAAGACGCGAACCTCATATCCTGATCTTTGCAATTCCGCCCCAGTCATCCTGAATTCTGTGATGAGATGCGAGGAGCAGTGTGACCGGTCAGTTCCGCTGTGCCGACTCCGCCAGCGGACAGGAAACGCTCGGCCGCCCCGCTCCACCCCCTGTTTTGAGATGATTCCCTTGCCGCTTTTAGGCAGAGACTCGCCGAAGAGCTCGGGAACGGAGGCGTCGCCTGCTGTCATTGTGGCACAGCGCATCCAGCCACAGTGTACGCACACCTTGGGTGGATCGATTGGAAAGTGAGATGCCGTGCATATGATGTGCAGCGAGCGCATGAGCCGAGATTGCCCCGGCGCTTTAGATCACGATTAGCGTCCAGTCTCACTGGTGTAGGAACCCGAGCTTACTTGTAGTTATGAGCCTGTAACTATAGAGCCAAGATTCAGGGGTGCAGTAGTTTCCGGTGCATTTGTCGCGTGGCATTGCTTGCACCCTACCTCATAGACCACTCAATGGGGACGTCTGCCTTCTGACAAATCAGGCAAACATGAGGCTCATGATAGCCAAAGTGGTCCGGTCCAATCAGCAACTCCAACACGCCAATGATCCTTGGAGTGAACAGCAGTGGCAGACGCCCCTCTGACTGGTCTGGTGGCTTGGATGCGTGTAGGACCGTATCGCCAAATTTGCGTAGAGGTAGATATTAAACAGAAATTGACTCCTGCAGCGCAGACATATGAAGCTCTTTGACTCTTGTACTGCTAGCCCAATGTCTTGCTTGTACCACTGAATTCGGCTGGTTGTTACTGAGGCGATCCGACGTCGTCGGGCGTGGCGGGACTAGAGGAAATGAAACCCCGGATAAAACCCTTCCGTGAGATTAAATTGAAAGCCGGACCCTGGTAATGTCCTGTTTCAGGATATGAACATGTGAAGTCATGAAGGTGTATTGTGTGCATGTTTGGGAATCACCAAGAGGTAGACTGTTGATGATTCAGTGGCATGCTACTTACCTTGTTCAGGGGCTAAAGAAGCCGAGCCTGAAAAGAAGGAGGTATTACTACTTTGGGATTCAGCCTATTCGACAAACACCGCTATCGAAGACTACAAATTTCATTTCTCTTTGAATGCCAGAGAAATTAATTGTTATCAGCCCTTAGATATTTCCCCAATATCTTGACCCGAGGATTGAAATGTGCACTTTGCCTGTATAGGTTCAATGAGAAAGCTGATTGATCTGCGCTACAGAAAGTGCCATGACAGAAGGCACACAGCAACAAACATAAGCGATAAGATATTTGATTAATAGGGCACCAAGTTGAATAGCATACTTGTTCTCTGTGACTTGCATTTAAGCCTTTACAGGAATCGAATTTGTAACGTCACGTAATCAAGGTCAGTAAATAGCTAGCTCCCTCGGGCTGCAGTGACCATGAATGAGAATTCCATCTGAGACCGGGAAGCGAACATGAACCAACTCACAATTCTAGCTTCATAGTTGGTTGAATATTTCCATTGTTGATAGGGATGCTAGAAGGCTTCGGAAATCACGTCTGTATGTCGTCGATTAGCGGCGTATCATCAAACAAAGTATAAGCTACCAAATAATGTAGAGAATAAAGAGAATAACCTACCAGTACCGCGAAGCACATGTGGTCAAAATAGGTTTAAGGCCTTTCCATGGGCTCTCGACAAAGACAGGCAGGAAAATCACAAGATCATTGTGTTGATTCTTGACTCCGATTGACCACTTGAGCAAGTCATTGTGACGAGGAAAACGCGTGCCATTAGGCGCGGTGTAGCAAACAGACCCAATCCGTAGCTTCTGTCTGCTTTCGACAGCTTTCTTGATGGGCTCAGTAGGCTTGAGTGTCTGTGCTGCGGTGGTAGTCAGACCATTGAGGTTTTGTTTCTGCTGACTTTCACCACTGGGCTTGGATGTTTCCGCAGACTTGGATGTCTCCACGGGCTTGGGTGCTTTTCCTGCGGACAAATTCGAGATGCGAGGGTGGTGTAGCTCGTTAAACTCAGCGGGTCTACTTTCAGAGTTTTGCCCAGAGATAGAGGCCTCTGGTGTTGTGGAACTAGAGGAGCTAGTACATGAGTTCTGTTGTGATTCGTGCGGAACGTTGGCAGGATCAGCAATCGATTTGGATAACTTTCTATCACCCGCATGAGCAGTGTTGAATCGATTGCTAGCGCTGACGGTAGTTTGAGCGTAGTGGTCTAGAACATGCACGCATCGCCAACGCGTTAGAGAAGAACATACTGCAATGTAGAACTTCATCCAGAATGTTGAAAGTACTGGTTGAACTCACGAGGTTGGAGAGTATTGCTCTTCGAACAAACCTGCTGAGAGCCCTTCACGTTTGTTTTGGACTGCAGACAATGAATTGGTTTCTCAGCAGCGACCGTAGCAGCCTTCAAGCTCACAGGATGTGGCAATTGGTCAACCTTCTGTGCCGGGGCGTGGGGAGAAGGAGTGCATTCCTTGTTCGCGTTCTCTCCCTGGGAGGAGGCAGCGTGAGCTTTCCAATCTTCATACAAGGAAGAGGTGCGCAATCTAGGATGTCTCTGAGTGGGTATTCCCTGTTCTCTGACTGGAGCAGCCTGAGGAGGTCGAAAAACGGTCTGTTGGGAGGGTACTTCGTAGTTCTTCAGAGTCTCGGGAGCCCATTCTTGCAGAAACTCATATTCCTTCTGTGACGGTGCTCGCTTCAGGATTTGCTTGGGTTGGACAGCAGCGGAAGGCATGATGGACTGCTGTAACATGCGCTTGTTTCTGGTTCTGCGAGGGGATCGGTGATGGAAGTGGAGGGGACTGATGAAGATGATGGCTGTCGAAGTGTTGAAGTAAGGTTGAACCCAAAATGGTGAAAGGGAGGGGGGTTGGGTTCAACCAGTGACTAGAGGTCTAATATGTGAAGAAGCGAGAGAAATCGGGAGTAGTAAAGTGGTGGTTTCCTCACACAGCATAAGTAGGAAAGTGAATGATTTAAACACGGCAGGGAAGACCAGACCTCAGGCTGCAAGTATCTTCCTCGTGACTGAAGGTGAAGATCTTAGACTTATATTAACATTGTCACTTTAAATTATTCTACCTTCACTGTACACTTAGATATACCAGTCTTATTGGCTATAGCTCCTGCTAACTCTATGTAAAAGTGTGTTCCTCCTGAATTGCACGGTTGATGACACGCACAAAACGTCCTACCTTATCGACGTCCTGCTTAGCTGTTTCAATTCCCAAAAGCACCTTCTTGACACCAACGCCGATGGTCTTGCGTTCAGAGATGTCATCGAGACCCTCTAGTGCTTGCTCAATCTCCTGCGCATCGAAAGCTTCGGATTTCTCAAGGATATATCTCAAATCCTCGAATGTCATGACATTCGGAACCATGATATCCGCATTGAAGGAGTTGTACACATCCAACTGCTTCAACACAGCTCTCTCCGTGGTAGTTGCCAGAACCAGGAGGCGTCGGCCCTTGCTAGGTTGCTTTCTCAAGCACACCATCAACGTTTGCAAGATGGCGTTGCTGAATCGAGGGCCAATAGGCACCCATTCAATAAGGCGCTCGATGTTGTCAACAACGACAACACTCGTACGACTTTTATAGGCATCATCGAAGATCTTGGTGATGTGTTGAATCTTGGCCATTTCACTATACCCGACCATGTCCTCGGGACTGATCAACTTGATGAAAGGAAAGCCGGAGTCGATGGCGATCCGAGCAGCAAGAGCAGTCTTTCCACTTGCGGTCGGGCCATGCAACAAGACAGAGAACAGAGGCGAGGATTCGGCATTGCTGACTTGTTTCACGAAAAGCTCTCCTTCCTTAAGAATCTCATTAATGCCTGGGGAGAAGTGAATAATGCCGTACTGAATGCGACTTGACAGCTCTTCCTCGGAGACACCAAAAGCCGGTTTGACTTCATCAAGTGCGTGGTGGAAATCAGCACGGTTGACCTTCATGTTTACAACATCATCACTAACGTTAGCCATCGTGCCAACTTTGATATGCCGAGAGAACGCGAATGAAGATGCGGACTTGACAAGACCAGCGATTTCAGCACCAGAAAAGTTCTTGGTCAGCTGAGCCAGTTCAGGCAGGTCGACATCATCGTCCATCACACTGTTGTCGCGCATCTTCTGGGTATGGATCTTGAGGATCTGAGCTCGGCCTTTCTCATCGGGAAGGGAGATTTCCATGTGAACTTCAAGACGACCAGGACGCAGGAGTGCTTCATCAATCATATCCTTTCGGTTAGTCATACCGATGAGTAGGATGTTGTTGAGCTGGTCGACACCATCAAGCTTCGAGAGCAGCTGGTTGACCACGCTATCTCCGACTCCGGTACCGCCACCTGCTCCACTACCACGCTGCTTACAGACAGCATCAAGCTCATCAAAGATGATGATATGAAGGCCACTCTCCTCACCCTTCTCCTTATACTCCTTCTCTGCATCCGCAAAGAGTTTTCGGATATTTTCTTCAGACTGACCGACGTACTTGTTGAGCACTTCTGGTCCATTGATGACCTTGGGTTCTCTAGCGTTCAACATCTTTCCAATTTGCCGAGCAATCAAAGTTTTACCTGTTCCAGGAGGACCATAGAGCAGAATACCCTTTACATGCTGAAGACCCAATTTCTCAACAAGCCCTGGGGGAAAGATTCGAGACGCGAAGGCACGACGGAAGATAGTGCTGAATTCTGAGTCGAGGCCACCGATGCCCATATTCTCGAATTTGAAATCAGGTTGAATGATAGAGTTTGCGGCGGGCCGACGATTCGAAGCCTTCAAATTGATACCGGTACGAGCGTCCTTGAAGAAGGTGATCTGAGAGTGTCTTGTAAGAATACCTCTGGCAATAGGGCTGGTCTCGACATGTCCACCATTGGGGTCAGGGGTGCCGGAGGACAAATCAACGCGTTGAACGGTCTTGATTGTCAACAAAAGAGGGATGCTTCGGTGATCCATCAGGATCTTTTGACCGGGTGCGAATATTTGGTTTTCAAAATTCTAATTTTGTCAGTGACCGCAGTACAATTAATTGGGACGGGGGAATAAATATACCTTAATCACGACGCTGGCCAGCTCGTCCTGGTCATATGGAGTCTCGACCCTCTTCTTGCCAGCGAATCCTACTTCAATATCGGTTGATCCGACGTATGCCTGACCACCCTGGCCGAAAGGATCATAGATCTGCACTTGCACTGAGTCCGTGAAGGCGATACCAGCCCAAGTTCGCTGAGGATCCGACATGCTGATATGACCGGGTGGGAACCCATCCAGAGGACGCGCAGAGAGAACGTAAAGGTCGTTGATGAGAAGTAGAAGGTCGTGTCCATCGCGAGAGGGAGGGAAGTCCTGGGTTGACACGGCGACTCTAAGAAAATTGTCAGAAGGTAGGACTTGGCCTCGGATTGGTTCAAGTCATACAGATTTCCAAAGGTATACACATTGTCCGGGCTCTTTGCAGGTCGTAGCGTCCATGTTTGACCGGAGCTGGCGGGCTTCTCACTCCGTGGCGGCATGTGTGATGGGCTAGGTCTGCCCATAGACTGCGGTGGGGCTCCGTATCCCCCGGGACTAATTGGCAGTATGAGTTAGCTAGTCATTACTCGAAAGAAAGCCTTGCGTTCTTGATATGCGTACCCTGCAGCAGGATATCCACCCGGCTGGTTAGGGGCCGGGTAGCCGTCACCACGCGAGGGGCGAGAGCCGAAAGGGTTGGGCACAGAAGGGTAATTATTTCGATTAAACATGTTTGCTCAAGAATGTAAGAGTTATTGCGCAGCGCAGACAGCAGACGGATATAGAAGTGGACAATGGCTGACTGTGCAGTTGAGCGCGGGGGAGGGGCGATTAGAGTGATGCTGCCGGCAGCTGTGGCACTAGTTCAACCAATATAGAATGAGGTTTCAACGGTATAGACAAAGTGAAGAATGACCTTGAACAGCTGACTGCAAAGTAAAGTGTTTGTACGGTGGGAGAATATCAAGTATGAGGGAATGAGAGTGGCGGTTGGAAGTTGGAGGAAGCTCCTTTCGCGACACATGGACGTAACCGCCAGTTAAGGTACCGTTGCTTAGTTCATCGGCCCGGCGGACTTCCGTTTTCGCCAATCGCTATGACGACTCTTTGTGCTCGAGTAATCCATCTTCCCAGTGCAGTAAATACACTTGTTCAACGAACCAAGATGCCGCTGTGAGCCTTCCATCCCCTTTTCTCTTCGTTTTGGGTTGCCAACACTAATATGAATCCTCATGATCCAGACACCTCCTCGGCAAGAAGTCATGGAACGTCTACAACCCAGAGAACATCGCCCGCGTCCGGCGCGACGAGGCGCAGGCCAAAGCTCGGGAGGAAGAAGAGGAGCGTCGCATGCAGGAGGTCGATGCCGAGCGAAGAATTCAAATACTGCGCGGAGAACGACCCTCAACCCCCCCTCCACCGCCGCCGGAGCCTTCTGACTCTTTTGCCAACAAACACAAGTCTTACTCGGAAGATGCGGCGAGGCGCAGGAAAAGAAGACGACTGGCTGGGGAGAACGACACGGACAGAGATATCAGATTGGCCCAAGAGGATGCAAAGATAGCCCAAGCCACCCAAAACCAGCAGGCTCATGTCCGTTCAAGCGATACACCCCTTCACGATAGCTCCGGGCACATTGACTTGTTTCCTCAGGGAAAAGCCCGCAACCCAGTCGAGAAGAACGCGGAAGCTGAGAAGGAATCTGCTGAGAAGCAACGAAGACTCGAAGATCAATATACGATGCGCTTCTCCAACGCAGCGGGTTTCCGGCAATCGGTCAATCAAAGCCCCTGGTATTCATCTTCCCGAAATGATACACAACCATCAGAATCCATGCCAAGCAAGGATGTCTGGGGCAATGAGGATCCTCGAAGGAGAGAACGGGAAAAGGCCAGGTTGGATGCCAACGACCCTCTAGCAGCGATGAAGAAAGGTGTGCAACAGCTCCGGTCTGTTGAGCGCGAAAGGAATAGATGGAACGAGGAACGAAAACGAGAGCTTGAGGAAATGAAATCCACGGAAAGGCGCCGATCGCATCACCGAAGAAGACGGTCACTGTCGCTAGATAGCCTTGAGGGCTTTAGGCTTGATGCTTCTTCAGACAGCCGTCAGAAACACCATGAAAGAAGCTCCCGTCGACATCATGATCGCAGGGACAAAAGTCGAGATCGCTCGCGTCATCGACATTCACAGCCTAAGTCAGACCCTCATTCTCGTCGCCATGACCGCCATAGACGGGCGGAATCAAAAACTCGAGTGAGATGAATTAAAGCATTCACAATACGAGCAGTGTGCATATTACTCGTCATTATACGATTATGGTGAGGGCAACTCTTCTCCCAGCATCTATTACAACCAGCTACGAGAGGAAAGTCACCGTGTTCAAGCTTGGATGTCTTCGTGACCAACGCAAACAAAATTCTATTATTCTTTATCGCATTGAATCTATGGTATTTCATAGAACGATGACCACCATGCGTGTTTAGCTCACTGCAAACTCCACAGCTGAGAGCCCTTCTCATTTTCAGTATTCCACTCAATACTGATGTCCAATGACCGGGATCCTGCCTCCTTCTTCTGGTAACCGACCTTACCAGTGATCGTTTGGCCTTTCTTAAGGGGAGCAGCCTTCTTCTTCTCCTGATCGATGAGGCAGATGGTTTGCTGCCAGTGTGTTTCAGTGCCGTGAGGCCCGGTGGTGAAAGCAACAATGCCCTTCTTCTGCATATCAGAGGGGAGTGCATCGTCCGCAAGGGGGGAGTCCCTGGAAGGCATGAAGAAGATGTCGAACCAGATAGCGAAACCATCAAGCGCATCAAGTTCTTCGTTGAGAGTGACCTTGAACTCCTTCAAGAAGGACAGTTCTTCAACTGTGATGGTATGCAGCGGAAGAGGCAGGAAGACATCGGAATCTCCGGGGATCGATGACGGCGGTACACTTCGGACAAGCGCCTCATCGTAGATACCGGTAAGCATGCTCTTCATGTTGAAACCGTAGACACTCTTCCAGAATGTGATGTGCGACGAAATAAATTCGGAGTCCGCGAATGGGGCGATGCGGAGGGTAGCATGCGAAGGAGCCATAAGGCCTCCGGGGGCAAGGTAGCGGTCCCGAGCATAGATTACCGAGTCGAACATGGCCTCAAAAAGAAGACCGTAACCCATCCACTCAGAGACGATGATATCCACTTGCGGGACGGGCAGTGTAACTTCCTCGATCTTGCCACGGATGCACCTGGATTCTCAAATATTAGCTCGTGTCTGTCGCAGTGGATGAAGGCGAACACTTACGTTATGATGTCCCCGAAGCCGTTCTCATAGATGATCTCCTTGGCTCTATCGATGATGTTCGAGTTGTCAACGGAGATGACTTTGCGAGCCCCAGCCTTGGCGCAGAACATGGAAAGAATTCCGGTTCCGCAACCTACGTCCAGGACAACCTTATCCTTGAAAACATGCTTGTTCTCGTAGATGAAGTCCCGGTAAGCTTCAGTGCGAACAGTGTCTTTCAGCATGGACTCGTGAATGCCTGGCAATTTATTTGTTAGTGGGGAGATTGCATATTAAGATACCTGGATTTCGAAGACTGTACCATTGTATGAGTAGGAAACGAAGTAATCCGCATCAGCCTCCTCAATCTTGCTGGTAGTTCGTCGTGCAGTAAGAGCATTGGGGCTGATTTTGAGCTTCTCATCCTCCTTGGAAAGTTGTTCTTCCATTGACTTCTGGACCGCGTCTCGATATTCGGAAAATTGTGTCTGGAGGCGCTCAAGGTCCTCCTGCAGCTCAATTACTCGCCTCTCGGCGTCCGTCTCCCCTGCAGCATCTGGGGCTTCTTCATCAATGTCATCCAAGCTGTACAGTAGAGCATCATCCTCCAGGACCGGCATCAGGTAGAGCTCGTCGTCAAACTTATCCTTGGAGGAGACATCGGGCGACATGTTGCCCTGCTTGACCTGGGAACGGATGTAGTTGACCAGCTTGATAGTGCCCAAGAAGTCCAAGTCTGCAATGCGAATGAAGTAAAAAGTGTAAAAGTTAGCCGTGTCACACTCCGAGCCTAAGAGCCATTCCACATCCAGGCTTCTACACCTCCACATCCGGGGATTCAACGCAGTGCAAATGCATATTGAGTGGGTACGCACCGAACTCATTCCGAATTCCTCGCAGGTCAAAGTTGTGCTTGTCTTTGGTCTCTTTCAACATGGACAGCACGTCGGGGTAGACTTTGTCGGAGAATAGGCCGACAACTGGCTGGGTCTCGTCCTCGGGCTCAACATCTTCCCATCCTTCCTCGTTGCTGATGTCGGACTCCTCAGAGGAATGAGAGCGCACGTCGTCCTCGACGGGGACACGCTGCGATGCAAAAGCCGAAGCAGACATGGCGATTATTGCGGGGTATTGCAATACTTTGCGCGGACGGCTCGATGGATATAGAATCAGATTGTTTGAACCGATTGCGCTCTTAGCAAATCACGATTCCGTGATACAGATGAAGAGCTGAAAAGGGCGAGTTGGAGAAGTGTCAACTGAGAATGAGGTGAGGGGTACGAATTTGCAGTTTGCTTGCGGCGGCCGGAAAAGACAAACCGTCGTAAAAAAAAAATCCGAAAAATCAAAAAAATGAAAAATCGAAAAATCGAAAAATCGAAAATGAGCGGGACGGGCATTTGGTGCCCCGCCTTCCTGTTTATTATCAGGGGGCCCAGAACGGCGATAAGAGTCAATCAAACACGGAGGAGCCTGAGGCCTGGTCGGCTTCCCCGCCAACAGAAGCGTCACCGCCTCCCTCCAGAAGAGCTTCAGCTCCATCTCCAACTCACAGTCCCCTCCTCCACCCTGCGAACACAACAAACTCCCTCTTCAATTCAATCTCCTTCTCACTATCGATATCGAGCCTTGCACTCTTACCAAACTCTGGGTTTTGTTGTTTTGAACTAAAACCGAGCAGTCGGTTCCCCCTGCACAGTGACCGCTCTTCTTCCCCTCCCAGACGCTGTTTTGGTTCCGCCGGCAATACAAACAATCAAGCATGGCCTTCTTCTTCAATCGCGGTCGATCCCGTCAGCCTTCTGATCTTGTTCGGACAATTAAAGACTCCCTGGCGCGGGTTCGGGAGGACCCCTCGACTGCCAAGGTTGGTCTCCAATTTGTGCATTCTCCTCTGATCTCGAGAGCAGTTTCGCGCCAGACTGTTCTGACTTCCGCGACCCCGAATGCTTGCTGACTGCACTAACACGTAGGATGCGGAAAAGCCACTCTCTCAGATGAAACTGATCGTCCAAGGTACTCAAGGTTCGTGTGCTCGCTTGAAATAGCACGGGGCTTGTTACCCTTTCCTACCTAAATACTTCTTGAGGGTCTCCAGAAACCCCGGCTGATGTGGTCCTCTGCAGATGTCGAGGTATCCCCTGAACAGGTTCAAAATTTAGTTCACGCAGCTTTGCAGGAGGATCTGCTTTATGACCTAGCTCTATGTCTTCATCTCCTTCCCTTTGAAGCTCGAAAGGACACCCAGGCCATCTTTTCGCATATGCTTCGTTTCAGGCCGGCCAGTTCGAACCCAAATCAAAACGACCCTCCGGTCATCTCTTATATAGTCCATAACCGACCCGAGGTTATCATTGAGTTGTGCAAGGGCTATGAGCACAGCGAAAGTGCTATGCCATGCGGCATTATCCTGCGAGAAGCCTTGAAGTTTGACGTCATCGCGGCTATCATCTTGTATGATCAATCAGGCGAAGGAGAGCCAGCTATCAAACTCACAGAAGTTCAGCCCGGCGTCCCCCAAGATGGGACTGGGATCTTTTGGCGTTTTTTCTACTGGATAGACCGCGGCAGTTTCGAGCTGAGTGCCGATTCCTTCACAACCTTCCGGGTAATAATTGTCTATCGAATCTGCTGGCGATAACAAGAGTACTAACACGATCACTCTAGGACATATTGACCCGCCACAAAACTCTAGTAACAGGCTACTTGTCGACTAACTTTGATCGGTTCTTTGCGAAATTCAACGAGGTTCTTGTGAACTCCAGCTCATATGTGACCAAGCGGCAGAGCATCAAGCTTCTAGGCGAGATCTTGCTCGATCGGGCCAATTACAATGTCATGATGGCCTATGTGGAGAGCGGTGACAATCTGAAGCTCTGCATGAAGCTACTGCGAGACGATCGCAAGATGGTCCAGTACGAAGGATTCCACGTGTTTAAAGTAAGGCAGACCGGCCCCTACTGGCCGACGAACGACGGCATGCTGACGAAGAATGTGTCGCAGGTATTTGTTGCGAACCCAAACAAATCTGTAGCCGTACAGCGAATTCTTATCAACAACCGTGACCGCCTTTTGAGATTCTTACCTCGCTTCCTGGAGGATCGGACTGAAGATGATCAATTCACAGATGAGAAGAGCTTCTTGGTTCGTCAGATTGAACTTCTCCCCAATGAGCCGATTGAACCAACACGCTCTACCCGTGAGCCGTCCAGGTCTGGCATCAACACAGCTGCCGTGGCCTGAACAGTTAGACTCGTGAGCCTGTCATCTACCACTTTAGCTTTTGCTGTGGACAATCTTTGGCCCTTGCCGGGTCTTTTTGTTTTTGTTTTTGTTTTTTTCTTCCACCCACCCACACCCCCCCGCGGCATCTATGCTCCCTTCTTTGGTGGACTCTTTGAGCTTGATGCGAAGGGCTGCATACGTTGAATGTATGTTATGGTTGTGTCGTGTTTGCATGGAAGGTCAGCAGGCATCTGACCTTGTCGGAGTTACAACGGTTAATTCATTTATGGAAGACTATGTCGAAATGACGAGCAAGGCGGATGACAGAAGGAGGCAATGGACAGAGCAGGCGATGGGCGATGAGATTAATGTATAAAGGCTGCAGTGAATCCTTGCATTGGGGCAGGATGCGGCCTACCGCGAGAAGCCGAGTTCTAGTAAATATTATAGCCACTGAGGTGGATCTGAACCTTCAATGGAGGAAGGAACCGGAGCTTAGAACCCGCTGATTGCATCACAGACATGGCGACAATTTTGGAGCTCCTGGCTGCTTGGAAAAATTTTCACTTCCAAGGGATGGGAGAAGAAGATGTGGGAGAAAGTGGATATCAACATCCCTCTGTTCTCCCTTTCTTGCCCAGCCAGACGCACACACTCACACACTCACACACCTCAGTGGCTGCGCAAGGAGATGACACGGCAGAGGAAGCTGGGAAGCTCTTTAAACTCAAGGCAGAGATATGGTAGATATGAGTAGATCTAAGCTTGATTTGAGGTGGTGCGTGCGCCCCCGACGGAATAAGTCGAGTGAACTATAGACGCAATGATATTTGTTGTGGGTGAAGCAGAGGTTCAACCCAACGTTTCAATCAAAACATTCATCAGCCACTAAATGCCTCCGTTGTTCTTCTCTTTCTTTGTTCTCTACTCCTCTTTCATTCCCATTGCAACCAGCTTCAATTCAATTCCACTCAATTCAATTCGAACGAGACAATTAACCGTTTATTATTAATAGTGTTTGTGGTCGGGACCACTCAAAGTCAACTGTGAAGATCCACAGTTGCGTGGCCCTCCCGAGGAGTTAAAGCAGACTAAAAATTGTATAGTGGATCATCGGCCCTCCTCGTCGCCGCCCTTCTCTTCTCTTGCATCTCCTCTCCTCCCAGTAGGTTTGTTCTTTTGCTTCTCCATCTCCTTCTGCTTCCTCCCTTTTTATTTGTGCCAACCCTGCTGTGCGCATTGTTCGTCTTGGACTCCTCTGTATTGGCTGAATGCGCTACCTTTTTTTTTCACTTCAATGAGGCGAGCATTGCAGAGTAAGGTAGTGTCGCTAGCTATCGAGAGGTGAGCGAGTGCGCGCGCGCATTTCTCGACTACTACTTCTTTACTTTTTACTACTACTTTTTTACTGGCTGAGGGCCTTTTTTTTTCCTTTTCCCCTCCCCTCCTCCCCTCCTCGTCCCCCTTGGCTACTAATTCCGGTCCATCCTCCCTCGACAAAGACCAGATAGCACTGCGCAGCGCAGCAGCGACTTTATCTCCCCTTTAGCCACACACACATTCCGTGAAATTCCACCTCTTTTCACCCCTCTCCTTCTCCCCCGACTTTCGATTCCTCCCTGGATTGCTGAAGCTTGTCCTGCCGCCAAGCATCCTTCCAGGAATTGCAAGCAACTCCCGCCCCAGATTTCACTCCTTCTCTCTCCTCCGTCGCTTTGTTGCCGACTGCCATGATTTACCGCGCAAGAGACCTGATTTCCCCCCGTCTGTCGCTCATTTCCCGTCCTCAGGTCTCATAAGCTTAATCTCTATTTTATTTATACGATTTCTATAATCATCAATTCCATTCAAGTTCCAACTGCGCCTCCGGTTCTAATTCAGTCCCTATCCGCTCCTTCATCTGCGATCCAAATTCGAATACTACATACAATCAATCAATCAATCAATCAGTCAATCGACCGCCCCGCCGGCCGCTGCCTCTCCTGGCTAACGTGCACGAACACAAACACAACCACAACTACATCCACATACACATACCCAGCTTCGGCTGCAAGATCTTTCCTAAAAGAACAAAAACAACTACAAATTAATATAGATATTAGGGCGCAAAGTCATGCCGGGATAATGGTGAATAATCGGCCCGTTTCTGTACCTTCCGCCGTGATGTCCGAGTCGACCTCGGCAATCCACAGTCTCCCCTACGATAAGACTGTTGCTGCGACAGTCCCAGTGACACTTCGATCTGCGTCGTTCCCCCCACCGAGTAATCAATCCTTCTGCTCAGAGGACCGATCAAATTCATCCAGTACCTCCTCCGGTGCCCCCATTGAACAAGCCCCACCCGCCCTATCACAACGGACCACTAGACGCGGCAGAAACAGGTTGGCCAGCCTACCAGCTGCCGGGGCTTCAACCGTGAGCTTGCGGTCGTTGCGCAGTATACCCAGCATTATTGTTGATGATACGGCGTCGCGTCCCAGCTCGCGTCCAGGATCTCGCCCAGGATCTCGCCCAGGATCTCGTCCCGGGTCGCGCTGGTCGGAACGTAGATGGGGTGGCTTAAGGGGTAGAAAGTCAGGGGATTTCGATCGGGATGAAGATGACACACCGCCTGTCCCTCCTATCCAAGCCCCGTTCAACGGAATCCCCTTGGACATCCCGAACGCCGCACTCGACGGTCTAGGACCGCAATCAATGAGGTTTTCAAAGCGTGGCAGTCTCATCAAGGAAGAGGAAAGACGTCAGCTCCAACAGCAAATCCAGCAGGCGGAGGCAAAACAACAAAGAATCGCGCAGATGGAAGGGGCCGACCAACGATTACAGGAGCATGTGATGGAAGACGAGAGCGATACGGCTTTGCCAGCCATGACTTCGCCGGAATTACATGTCGCGGACGAAGAACCTTTGGACTCCCCTACGAGGCGCTCCAAACCGCAAGCGACGCTTAGGGTGCGGCACAGCGCTATTGCCAGCAGAGCCATCTCTGCAGATGAAGACATGCTGTCGCGACGAGTGCGCTTAATGTATGAGAAGGGCGACGAAAATGTGACGGACTCGGAGGTAGCAAGGTCCATGGCCGCGGAGCACGGCGTTCTGTGGGAAGACACAGCTCCCCCGAGCATGGAATGCTCCCGTCTGTCTGGACCCAGCGTGTCCGGAACGGATACTCGAAGTATAGTGTCGTCACTCGGGACGGACGGTGTCCCCGGATTCAAGCGAGAAGCACACGAGCTTGCGGGGGGCATTGAATATTGGCAGAACATCAAAGCTGGCGATGTGGACCGATACGGGTTCATTCGGTCCCCGACATCTAATTCCAATGAAGGCATCGATCCTAGTCCCATTCAACGCGTCTCTACAAGCCTGCTTCTTGCCTCTGAAACCCCAAGGCGCAAGTATTCAATGCGCCCGCCCTCGGCAATAGGTCCCAATCATCGCTCCTTTACTGGCCGATCTCCGACTCGAAAACTATCCGAGCCGTCAATTCGTCCATCGTCTTCTCAAAGTACCTACAGTTCACCGTTACGGCGTTCCACCACACGGTTTCGTCGGGCAGCCAACCATCTTCCTCACAACCGGACTCGTCGTGTCAAAGACGAGGCGGGCGACATGCTCACGCTACCCACAAACGCCATCGCACCCGGGGATCGACAAGACTCAGCCGCTGCGCGCGCAGCAAGGAGGAAGGAATGGGAGAGGGAAGACAAGTGGACGAAGATGGCCAAACCGATAAGAAGTAGCGATGGAGGCGGCATGACATTCGAGTTTGATACCACCAGTTCGAAGCTGATCGAACGGACATGGAAAGGCATACCTGATCGATGGCGAGCTACCGCTTGGTATGCCTTCCTAGAAGCAAGCGCCAAGCTGCACAGCGACAGTCCATCAAAAGAAGAGCTCATTGAGGCATTCAATGAATACCAATTAATGTCTTCCCCGGATGATGTCCAGATCGATATCGATGTCCCCAGAACAATAACCAGCCACATTATGTTTCGTCGCCGCTATCGTGGCGGGCAGCGGCTGCTATTCCGCGTGCTGCATGCGATGTCTCTCTATTTTCCGGATACAGGCTACGTTCAGGGCATGGCAGCCCTTGCTGCCACGCTGCTTGCATACTACGACGAAGAACATGCATTTATCATGCTTGTTCGACTTTGGCAACTGCGCGGTCTGGAGCGGCTATATCAATCCGGCTTTGCGGGCCTCATGGAGGCTTTGAGCGACTTCGAACGAGAATGGCTGGAGAAAGGAGAGGTTGCTGCAAAATTGGTAAGTGGCGTATACGTCTCTGTCGCCCCGCGCGCTATGCTAATGCAATACCCATCAAAGAATGAGCTTGGAATTCCACCTACAGCGTACGGTACTCGCTGGTATCTCACTCTGTTCAACTATTCCATCCCATTTCCTGCCCAGCTTCGGGTATGGGATGTATTCATGCTGCTCGGCGACGCAGAGGATCTTACTGCGAGTGGGTCTTCCATCAAGAGCGGTAAGAAGGCTCACGTCAGTGCATTTGGCAACGGCTTGGATGTGCTTCATGCTACCTCGGCAGCCCTCATTGATGGTATGCGTGACATCGTCCTCGAGTCCGATTTCGAAAATGCGATGAAGGTCCTCACCAGCTGGGTCCCCATTAAGGATGTGGAATTGTTCATGCGTGTTGCCAAAACGGAGTGGAAAGTGCATCGCCGAAAGAAATCATCTTAATTGGCTTTCTCACTCCATGCCCGAGCCTCATCTGTGAAATCTGCGAGTTGCAGATATGATGACCCGGTGGCTTATGTCCCCGCCAATCCGACCCTTTACAATCACTTTTTTAAACCTAATCTAATGTCTAGGTTTCTTCCTTGAGTTAAGGGTAGCATGGCTGCTACCCTTTGGCCTCGGATGGAAGTCCCCTTATAATTCTCTTACGACTCAAGCGGACGATTCTTGATGATGAAAGAAAAGTCGTTGTGCAATTAATCGCATCTATCCCTGTTTTCCCCTTCGATCCCTCCTTTGCCCGCTGTTTCTTCCGCTTCTAGAGCTCACTCACATGACTGCATCACCTCTGTCGTGGCTTTATAGCCTTCCCACAAAGCAAATCCGCCCTCGGCTCATTTCTTTTTCCTTGTCTCCCCCGGAAGGTCAACCCCGCCCGTCCCAGCACTCACTGAACATGCTATCCCTTTCCAGAGACAACCTACTTCTCGCAGGAGCTGTTTGTACACACACTGACACTGAATGAATTTCTCATTCTCACCACTGGATCCCTCGATCCAACCGCATCAATCTCTACATTTACAAATCACTCTCTATCATCTTTTTCCCATAAATGTCTTTCTCTGCTATACATTCCACCCTTTCGTTACCATGTCACTACTACTACTACTCTGTACCATCTGCGCCTCGCTTATCATTCTTTCCTTATGTCCTCCCCGAACCCTCCATGGATACTAATCACCTTGCCTTACCTATATACATACATACATAATGCCAACGCTGTCATAATATACCATCCAACCTACTCGCGTCCTAGATATCTCCAGCTCATTTATGATTTTTTCTTTTCATCTGTATTCTCAACACGACGGGACTCAGCGAGTCAAAGAATCAACCCCGGCGGCACTTCCTCTCGGTATGCCTTCGTCGACTTATTTTTCCCTCTTGTCAGATTTTGCTTGATTTGCTTGGTTTGCGTGATTGGCATGATTGGCCGTGGCTCCGCATCAACTTACCTGTGGTAGGGTGAATGGCTCAAGCACCGGCACCGTACTGTACATCATCCCGGCTGGGTTTGGTCACTCTCTCTCGCTCTTGCATACATCCCTTATGATCATCTTAAGTCTACTTCCAGCCTCTGCACCAAGGACGAAAATTTCCGTCTCGTCTGCCGTATTCGAAATCCCATCTCGAGGGATAAACTGGTTACTGTTCAAGTCGCAATGTGCGCTAGACTTACGCGCCAGGTTCCCTGATACCCTATCATACCCGATGTGCCTGATCCAGTCCTACGGCCGGATAGCGGCAAGTAGGTAACGACTAGTATACTTACCCTATGCGCGTGTTTGTGGTCCCTGGATGCCACATGTGCGTATGACGGCATGGGTCACATGATATTCCTGCCTTAAGGGGAAAGAATGAAAAGACGCCGCGGAGTCGAGGAGGTACGACCGAGAGGACGCTACAAGTGATGTAAAGATTGGCTCAAGGCGGGAAAAATGGGACAGCGATCGGGAAGAAAGAAGAAAGCAGAAGAGAAAAAGAAAGGCCGTTCCTAGTCTTTGGTATCATAAAACTCATCTTTCCCGATGGACACGGTAGGCTTCGGATGCAGAGAATATACAAGTCGCTTCCGAATGATATATCAGCATGAAAATTAGATAGACCACAGCAATATTACAGGATGTATGGGGAAGATGTCAAGTCACCCATGATGACGACGGGTGGCTCGTCTTCTTGGGGCGGGATTAGTTGGGTCGTTCGGGTTCACTTGACCTCGTGACGACAGGTGAGCCAGGATTCCTCGTTGATCCTGGATCTGGTAATGTGCTTTCAGCGGCTGCGTCTGGCCGTACGTCCGGAGGTCTAATTGAAGAAGGCTCCGACCCGGCCGAGTCATCTACAGCAGCAGCATGCTCCTCACGGCGCGGATCCGGTTTCGGGTCTTCGGTGGTCGGGTCGGGGCTGGGGCCACGACTAGGGCGGTCAGGTCTCGAATCCGCCGCATAAAGGTCATAAGTCGGCAATGCCTCAGTCGGCATCATCGGGCGAGGTCCTCTACCCGTCGGTGACCCCGGTCGAGAGGCATAAACATTGCTACCGCCAGGAACGGGCTCCAGCCCCCTCGATGAGGGCATCGGAGCAGGAATATGAGGGCCGCTAGCTTTCCTCTTCAGTCCGGGAGAACTGTGGGAGTCAACCCGGCGTGGTCCCTGCGTCGCCCCGGGCGACTCCTGGCGAGTTCGCGCTCCCAGTTGGTTGGCTTGCGGCTGTCCTGGTGGCACCCAATGATGGAAATACAGAGATGGTGGAGAAGGGCGCGAGATAGAATCTGACTTGCTCAGTGCCGACTGTGTGAAAGGTATGGAAGACCCTGGAGCGTAGTGCACATGACTGAGGTTAATAGGAGGAGGTGGAGGATGCTGAAGCTGCGGCTCGCTCGGAGGCATCCTCGGAACGGACAGGGACAGTCGAGCATCGACAGCACCGTTTGTGACCGGCGGCGGCTGTACAGTCGGGGACGCACCTACGGGGTGCAAAGGTTGAGACAGCAGAATGCCCGGAGGGGGCACAGCCTGCGCTGGAACTGAGGGGGCGGTGTAAGGGTTCAGGGGAAGCGTGCGGGAATCACGTCGGACGTGCGATGGCCGTCGTTGGGCCTGAGTCGGTGCATGTGGCATGGCCGGCATCGTAGGAGCCGATGCCCGGGCGGGAACCGATTGGGCCATATGTTGTTGAGCCATCTCAAGAATGGAGGGGGGCAGCCCGCCGGGACTGATACCCGCGAAGATCAGCGGAATGAGGTGCGGCGGAATTCCGGCCTGCAACGCATCGCGCAGCATGCTCTGTTCGAGCCTCCGCTGCTCCAGTCGCAGAGACTCTTGGCGTGTTTTCTCTTCTTCCTGCTTCCTTCGATCCTCCTCCGCCTTGGCTTGGAGCCAGTGGCGCATGGAGTCATCGGAGCTCTGCCACTGACTTGGAGGCGGCGGGAGGGTTTGATTCATTGCATTGGCGGGGCCAGTGCCACTTGCGAAGCCTAGGTTTGGCGGCGGCAGAGTTAGGGAGGCCGGGGGCGGCAGTCCGCTACGAGAATTGTCCATGGACTTGTCTGCAGACGATCTCGAAGGCGCTGTGGTCGCTGACAGATCTGACACTGGCGGTGGGGAAGACCGTGGGGTAGGAGCGGACTGGCGAACGATGGCGTAGTCATGGGGCCCTTTGACCCCGTTCTGCGACGAAGGCTTAAGTGTGAGCAGCATCCTTCCGATAACAGCGCCGCTGCAGGAGTAAGAACAGGGAAATAATTGAGCAGCGAGCAAAGGGTGCTATGAGCTTGAACCGAGCTTCAAGTGGAGATCGATAGGCAGCACCGATAAGCACGCAGGTCGAAACAGCTGTCAAATAGAAGCTTGCAACAACACCCAGCTCACAGCATCAGATAAGTTCAAGAAGGAAGAGGGAGGTGGGGAGCAGTGAGGGCGAAGCACGACAGCATCGTCTGCCTGGCTGGGAGAGTAGAGAGGTAGAAAGAGACCGGAGCAGGTGAAAAGAGATATATGAGACAGGTCGAGGACCAGAGGAGAGATGAAGCAACGGAACTAGCAATGGAGCATTCAATTGCACGGGTGCAAGGATGTTGAAAGGAGAGAAAACAGCAAGACGCGAAAGCACAGCAAGAAGACAAACAGCATCAGTAACGAACAGTGAAGACGAGGAGAAGGAAGAAGACGAAGCTGGAGACAATAATCATAATAATGCAGACTCAATCATCGCCCAAACAGGATAACCCCCAAACGGGAAAGACACACTTACCCAAACAGGGCTGGTCCCCGCGTAGACTAACCAGATCGGGAAGAGACAGTCCCCGGATATAGATGCCTCAAGATGCTGGCCGTGAATGGGTTGATGCCTGAGAAACGCGGGATGGGAAGCAAGAATAGAATTTCGGAGTCTGAGAAGGAGAAAGGGAGAAAAAAAAAAAAAGAAGGAGGAGGAGGAGGAGAAGGAAGGAGATAGAGGCGGGAACTGGGGTGAAGCTAGTAGATTACTGATTCTTCACCTACAACACATTATATAAAGTAAACGGTTGACAGTGGAGTTCCCAGCGCTGCAAAGAGACTAGCGGCCAGGTTTGCTGACGACGAACCGCCCGGTGCGACTCGTCATCCCCCATAGCACTGCTCCAGGCTCAGGCTCAGGGCTTTCCTGCTCCGCTGCTCTTTTCGGTTTTCCCCCTTGTACCGACCGATAAATCCTATCCGATTTTCGCCCATTCGAGACATGCGCTTTCTCTTCAAGTTACTAGTATCTCGGCGTGCCTCGTCTAGATTGGCCAAATCTCTCTGTAAACCGGCCGGGCCCGTTTCAGTAACTCCACTGCCCATCCCCATCTCCCCTTTACTGCTCAATCTGACGTCCTTACGCAACCCGCTTCCAAGGGACCGCTTGGCATGTCATACTGCCCACTATGAAACACTCCTACTCAGTACAGGCAAGTGCATGAAATATGCAAGTGAGGGGCGGAATAGAAAGAAAAGAAAGGAAAAAGCCTAGATAAATGTATATACTCGAAGAAGGTAATCAATCCCAGGGTATCCCGATACACAAAGCTCGATGGCTTCGCACTCACCCCCCACCCCACCCCATGTGCGTTTTCCTGTCATCCTCACCCGTCACGATCAAATCGACTGAGCACTTCCGGGGGTACTGTTGGGATGTATTTACGCGCCCGTTCGCGATTAGTACCCCCCCATCCAGCCCCGTAGCTTATCAACATATCCGTGCTGGTGGGTAAGGAAAAGGGGAGGGTCAAAGACGGATCTAAAAACACCCCATGACTGCCGGCCCGTTCTTCCATCAGGGCCGGTCGTGGAGATGCGAAACTAGACCCCGGAGATGCCACTGAGGCGCGCGTCGAGGCGTCAGGAGAGGTGGCCGCATCGCCCGGCGTGGTCGTCGCCGGGGGCGTCTGAGGACGTCCTCCATCGCTAGAGGCTGACGCC